ATAGAGTACATGAGCTCCTCACCCTGATTTCTGTCATCACCTGAGTTTTCAGATGTCATTAAAAAATAAAGGCTATTTTCAACTCGGAAAGTAAACACCCTAGTCTAAACTGACACTGCTTGGTGACCCTCAATGATGGTGTCATAACGAATGAGCAGGATGGTGGCTTCTTATGAATATGAATGACCAAATGTGATCAATTTATTGGAGTTAAATGACTGCCTCTGTTATAGGGTACCAAATTCTAAAGTGCAAATCATAACCTGTAGTAAGAAGGCTACTATGTGTTGCATAAATTTTAAACTGAAGGGGAACAGTGCTTCCTATTTGTCAAGGGAAGTTCCAGGAAGTATCCATGAAATACTCCAGAAATATTGCATTCAATTTTTGTTGCTTCTAACCATTCTAAGGTTAACTTCTAGTACTGCACTTGCATGTGGGGTAGAGACATTGACTTATGTCTGTTTCAGTTCAGTCACTAAGCCCTAGCATGTGCCTCCGTATTTCATACATGTCTGTGTGTTTCATCAAGGTCTTTGAGACATTATGACCTTAAGAACATCAGTTCCCCCAGTTTTCAAGTCACATGTTGCTTTAATAATCTTTGAAGACATTCCAACAGCATCTTCTTTAAGCCACCAGAAAAAGAACACTTTGCATAAATCTTGAAGAATTCTATGTAGCACATCAATATAGCAACCCACTGCTTTCAGCTTGGCACTTAATGACACCGCCTGGCAGTTGCGTGATGCTTTCTTGCATTGCATTATTTTTGGTGGTACTTTTTGATAACCACTGGAAGACTTAAGGGAGTTTACAAGGAGTTACTCGTGTTCTTAGTAGCTTAGTCACTGATCACATGATGTCAGTGCTCTGTGATTCACTTCTGATTCATTTCAAATTGTACACTAGGTGATAGAGTTGGAACCTGCTTATGAAATAACGACAATGCTTATGAAATAAAGGCCTCAGACCTAGAAAAGCTAACTTTTCTTTCTTGCAAAATTCAGTTCAGTTAAGACATCCTTGGCATTCTTCCTGTTGCCTTATCATTGCACTCATGAGTGGGAAGGTCTCAGTACGACGATTTTGTCTATTGAACGTGCTCCTTGTGTTAGTATATTTACCACAGGCTTGGTGGCTATCAGGACCTGGCGAAGAGCTGGCAGTTTGCTCTCAAAGCCTTGCTTTTGAGTACTTTTGATTCTTTCAACTATTCTGGGAACAAGTGATACTTCAGTTATTTCTAAATCACGGATTATGGGGAGCCACCATCTGTGTTGTGCAATGGAGTGGTTGATGGGCCTTGGATTAGGATGCTCTTGCCCTTTTGTGTTCTGAGTCTCACATGTGCAATAGAGCTTTTGTAATTGTAGTTTTTAGTGGCTTTGTGTTACTACATAGTTAATAAAATATTTAGCCTTCAATGTCTCTGTGCTTTCTCTCATGTAATTAAATACTGGAAAAGTATATTCAGCTCCTGTTTCCTTGTTAAAAACATCTTAGTACAGTGATGGCATTTACAGGAGGAAAAGCGTGTAACCCGTGAGTTATTTGTATCTTGCTGCAGTGAAAAAAAGCTAAGGCTTATGCAGTATTTTGCAGCTTTCTTTAAAGTAAATTGACTAACTGAAACACACCCATTGCACTTTATTTAGTATTCACTTAGTGGTTTTTGCTCAGCAGGGTGTGTGGTTAGAAACAGGTATACAAACGGAAATGAAAATGAGTTGCAAGGTTTTAAAACAAACTGCTGGAGGTTCAAGAGAATGCTGCAGAGGCATTCAGAGACACTTGCAACCCAGTCAGGAAGCCCTCTTATTGGCCCCGCCATTTGCACAAAGGTAATTTACCGTAACTTTTGTTCCTTCCTTACACAGCTCAGTTTAGCAGATCAGCTCTCTGAAAAGAAGCGACCTCACGGTCAGAGGTGCGAGAGACCCAATGACAGTTCTGAAACCCCAAGTGAGCTGGAGTCTCTTCTCGCCTAAGGGTTGTTTTTACCAGTTTGACTCCATGGATTTTTTTGAATTATGAATTTGTGAAATACAAATGGAAGAGGAATCATACTCAATATTTTTCTTTTTTTAGTAACATTTGCTGTATCATGGTATATGCACTTGAAAAGTTCTTCTTTTTAAAATCGGGCAGGAAGGTCGTGTTAAGTATTTGAAACTGCATGTGTTTGTGAAATCATGCACTGCTACAATTCCATGCAGGCTCGCTGTTCAGTGCTAACTGTACAGGGAACCTTAAGATTTTTTGCTGCAGAGTGTTTATTTTGGTTTTTGAACCATCACTAGTACGATGTTTTTCTTTGTGGTGATGAGCCTTTTAGTTGGGTGAGAGAATGGATAGCACAAAACTTAGTACTGCTTTTACGTGTGCAAAATAATTGCATGTCATCATAATGAGGTCTATATCTGTTCTGTGATAATTAGGTCTGAATGTTGTGAAGCATAAATGCAATTTTTGTTATGCACCACCATAAATGTGGTGACCTAATCACTACTATTAGGCAGAACATATTGTTTTTCTCTGCATCTTTGTAAAGTGGAAAAGGTAAATTGGAAAAGAGACCTAGAGGACAGGAATTCAATTTGGAATCTGGTGCCAAGTGATACCTGTGTTATGTTGTCGCCGAGGGTTTTGGAATACGTATGGAGGAGAAACTCCAAGGAGGGTCAATTATTTCCTGTCATTGTCAGGTGGAGATGATCTATATTGAGCACTTCTGAAAAGCTGGTGATTTAATTACAGCTGTATATACTTAATAATAAGTGTGTACATAACCATTTGGCTTTCAAGTTAAGCGTATATTGAACTGCTTTTCTGATTAAACAAGAGCTGTTGGATGGAGGCTCTGGCAGAACACCAAGTTTTGTAAAATCAAATGAGAATTGATACAGGCCTCTGTGTGCAAGATTCTTTAGGTAATGAATGAAATTATGTGAGAACACAAACAAGGAATGCATAAACTTTGGTTCATACTATAAAATGGAGAACTTTTAGTATAAATCAAAAGGCAGCTCAAGAACTTTTAGTTACTTGGGGTCTATACTGCTCACATTTATGGGGCTGTAGGACAGGCAGACTTTCCCCTCGCCCATATTGCTGTAGGTGGAATTGCTCCTTATCATTGGAGCGTAACTATAGAAGGTAGGTTCAGAAAATGGTCTCTCGTGTAGTGTTGAAGATCATCTTATGCACAAAGTTGTCATTCTGGGCTTGATAGCACTGAGTGGGTTGCTGCATGTTCACGTAGGCTCTGCCAGAATTTACTGATGAGGATTTTTCTGCTTGTCTTGCCTGAGAGGCTGGCTGTAGTAAGATATTTCAAGACTGTTTATTGTATTGAGTTTCCTCCAAACTGACTATGCTTTTGCTAGAAGAATGAAGTTACCCACACCAGGTATATGATACCCAGCACATCCTTTGCTTTTGGGGCTTCAAACAGTCAGCTAAAACAATAACTTCACTTGTAAACTACAGACCTAGGCCATTCTGAGTCACCTTCCTACTGAACTACATCTACTCTGGATGGAACAGAGCCAGCCTGTCTTCCAGCTTAAACTAAATTTGATGGACAGGTAGGAATCTCAGAGAATTGTTTGTGTAGAAGAGAAACACCCACATGGGTATCCACATTGGTGTAGGAGCAGCCGTGTGAGCCCAGCATTGGTTTGATGTGATTTGGTGTGTGGCAGTTGGCCTGGGTTCAAGCACAGCATCTATTGCTTTTGTGTAGCTGATAGATTTGAGCATGAGTGAGGAGTTACGGCATTGTTGCGGGGAAGAGAAGGAAAAGACTTTCAGGGGAGAGTGTAGTGATAAAGGGTACGAATAGGACTATTGTGGAGTGAAGAATAGAGGAGATAGATCTGGAGGAATTCAGGGCAACCTGTTCCAGTGTCTCACCACCCTCACAGTAAAGAATTTCTTCCTAATATCTAATCTAAGTCTCCCCTCTTCCAATTTAAAACCGTTACTCCTTGTCCTGTCACTTTTTTATGGCACACCTGCCATTTTAAGTAAGTGATAATTACATTTATTCTCATAGAGGACAACGTATTTAAAGCTATTCAAAAAGGTAAATGTTCTTCTGTGTTTGAAAAGGTGTGTAATTTCAATTCAAACTACTTAGGTTCTGTCATGGCAAGCTGGAGAAAACATCACCTGTTAATATTTACAAACACTTTCACTACTGTGTTTGTTACAGAAACTGAAACTTTTTAAAACATTTTGCTACATTTAATATCTTTGGTCTTTTCTGAATATGGAAAAAAACCTTGCAAGGCCCAGAAGATAGGTGTAGTCTAAAAACCTTCTTCAAGTGAAATCCTGGTAGCACATAGTTCAAGGAATGTGTTGGGACGTTTAGGTCCACCACCAGGAGTATGTATAGGTTAACCTCTGGGCTCCTGCATACATTATATCTCATTCCATACACATATAGGTATAGGTTCCAACCTGTGCGTATACTTTAGTGTTATGTATGTCAGTTGTACAAAAGGCCTCACAAACACTTAAGAATATTGCCATTCTGTTTGGTAAGTCCAGTCATGCCACTGACATGTGTGGATCAGTAACTGAGTTCTTTTGCTCAGCAATTCATTAACTTGTTTCAAAGGTTATACTAATCTGCCTAAAGTTAAACATTTAAGTGCATTGCTGGGCTGAGATCATTATGTATAATTATGTGGATATTTTGAGCGCTTTTGGGGCACAGTTGCTTTTTTGCTTGCCCCTTACTTTTTTCTTTTCTTTTTTTTTTTTTCATCTTTGGTAAGGATCTTCCAAATCCTGGTACTGAAATATAGGTGTTGTTATATAGCTCTCATCAGAAAAACGATGTGATTCCTAAGTTAGTAAGTTACTGCTGTCTTTGAAATAGTGTAGGTGAACAGGCCTGATTAGAATTAGTATTTTGAAAAAGCCTCTTGCAAGTTGTTTACCAAGGTATACCGAGATTTCAATATGAACACTCCTTTTTTTTTCAGATTTAGAAGGAAACGCATATCAAAACAACCAGCTGCTGAAGATAATTCTGGCTATGCATCAGTTTATCATCTCCTCCGCAGACATGCTCCAGAAACTCATTGATCTATATCCTTTGTAATATTCACCTTCTCTTAAGGTAATATTAGATAGCTTGACAACTTTGAAATGGGTAAGTAGAGGATATTTAATCTATGGGTGTATTACTGTTCCACTAGTTAAACAAGACACTTCTTCTTTTCAGTTTCTGGTTGTATAGTGTGTTTTTGTTTGGTTTAGTTTTGAGGTTTTTTATGTGTTTATTTGGTTTGGCTTGTCATCCACAGAGAGAAACATGAAACTCCAATTCAGATTTTAAGTAGGATAAATCACTCTCCATTTGCTGTGGAGGGAACATCTAGCAGGTGCTAGATTAAAGTAGGCACCTCAGTTAGGCAGAGTGAACCTGGGCTGAAGTTTCAGATCTCTTTCTGCCCTCTGTACAAGTAGAAGAGCAAAGAACAGAAGTGTAATTTTTGAAAATATTCTGATTGTGTCATCTGGAGATGAAAACTTTCAACAAATATTATTTCTTACTCACAAATTCAAAATTCCAATGCACTGAAATAAAGCATAAGGTTTTCCTTTCTATTTGTTCCCATTTTGAGGTCTCTGCCTGGACTTACACATGAGTGTTTCTGGTTCATTAGATTTTTCACAACAAGGCTACTAGATCATACTGGCAATATGATTTCTTTCTTAGGAAGTTTTAATTGCAGAATGTATTAATTGACTTCTTCTCTTTACAGAATATTTACTCCCAATTAGATGAGCACATTAGAAGAGTACCAGACCCTGACATGCTAAAAATCTCCAGCCAATTTTAGTACAATTTGATGTGGGTAATCCTTTCTTCCCCCAAACTCTGTATCTTACTGGTTTTTAAAAGCAGCATCACTTACAACAGAGCTCTTCTGTAGTGGTGGATTCTGAGTGTCCTGCTGCTTCTCTAGCCACAAGTGTTAGATCAAGCGTGCCAAACTACAGTTGTGGTGTAGTGTTGCATATAAATTAAATTCATGCACCCTTTGAAAATGGAAGAAAGTGATTGCTTGCATGTTTCTGAGAAGTAATGTTTTCTACAGTCAGAGAAGTGATTCAAATTGTTATCAGACTTGCATATTTTGCAAGCTTGGTTTTTGACTCTGTATATAGCTCCCTTTAAAGCAATTGAAAAGTAAAGATGGTTTTGAATGGATCAGGTAGTCTGGGCTCTTGTATTTTGAAAACCCTTGCAAATTTCCCAGTTTTACCACTTTCCGTCCCCTAAATTACGTGAGTGATTTTACATGGTTATGGATGATTTGACTGCTATCTAACTTCAGACATTCAGTTTGGGGCCCTTCAAAATATTTGGGAACTTACTCACACCTCATTACTTCTATAGTCAGCCTAATTTAAGAACTTAATGTGGGTGCTTAAATTGTGGATGGTATGTCCCCTTTGTTGTAGTAGATATAGGCTGCAGTTAATTTCAATCAGATTGTTGGAGGATCCACAAAGTATTTTCATTAAATTATGTTATTTAGTACTGAAAATATGTGTTTAATCTACAGCACAAGAATCAAGATATGCAAAATACATTTTCCAAATGGATTTTGCATGTTTTGAAAAGATATTGGGTACAATATCAAAACATGTTTCATAGACCTAATAGGCTGAAAATATGGATATTTCTTTCCAGTTATGACAGCAAGTCAAATGAAAACTGTTGTGGAGTTAGAAAAGCGAGGTTAGCAAGGAGAGACTTTTCATATTTTTCTCTGCCATTGTATACAACTTGTTATGTTTAAAAGAAAACAGCATTTATTTTTTTTTTAAAGCTACAGTGAATGGTAATTAACCAAAACAGATTTCTTCGTAAAAGCAGTACTTGATAAATTCGGTATTACTGTTTAAAATTTTAGTGAGATGTGCAAGTGCATGAGACTTAGTAGAAATTGTGAGGCATGTTGCAAAGAAACACATCTAGAAAGCAGAATCATTTCACTACTTAACACTACTCAGTACTTGGGCGGCTGCATCAGAATTACTCATAGCAGTCGTATTTACAATAAACTTTTGCTAACGATCTTGGGATATACTTTGTGTACACTTATGTAAAACTCTAAACTGGTATTATATGCCATCAGTAGAATGATTCCTGTTGCTTACAGTTAGGGAAATATGAAGCATGCTACATTTCATATCATATGTGAATGGATGTAGTTTTCCTTAACACATTTTCTACCTATCTTAATGCTTTAGAAAATAAATCTTCCATTCTGTGTGTGAAGATATGCTACTTTGTGAGGTAAGAATATTCTTGCTTAGTAGCTATTACTCTGCAGCTATCCATGTGCCATACATAAGAATGCTTTTTGCGTATCTTATGCTGATGTTAAAAAGAGAAACAGCTATACTGCATCAGCTTTTCAAGGTTTACTTTAGCAGCTTTGCACAACAAGCTTTACATGGGCTTTTTGTGCATCCACTGAAATCAGTGCATGAATTGTTGGGTCACAGTTTTGAACTGAGTCTGTATAAATCTGCATCTTAAACATTGGTGAAAATTGACAGTGGTCAGGAATTGGTAGCACTGTGTCTAACGTTATCATATATGTTTCTTAAAAAAAAGTGGGATATTTCAGCTATTTTTATATTAAGCAAAGTTCTGCTGTATTCAGTAGGTAATTCTCCTAAGTAATTATATATAGTCAATTGCAATGATACTGGATCCCTTTTTTTTTTTTTAATTAAGTATAGTACATTTGCTATCTTGGGTTAGAGAAAACAGAAAAGAAGAAAAAAGATGCAACTCTGACAGTAGATTAGTGTAAGATATTTCTTTGTTGCACAGGATGAGAAATAAGTAGTAACAGGAGTTTTAAATGGTGATTTTATTATCTCAAAGTAGATTATTGGTTAGGTCAGAATGCTTTGGTATTATATGTGATCTGGGAACATTTGTGCTTCTTGGCAAATTCATACATATATGCATCCGTAGGCATGTGAATTTCCATTTTTCCAACAAGCACAGATTTTTACAGGCATGGGTGCACTGGGTCTGGGTGGGATGGAGTTAACTTTCTCCATGGCAGCCCCTGTGGTACTGTGCTTTGTGTCTGTGAATAAAACACATCCATGTTTTCACTCTTGCTGCACAGTGATTGCACGACGTCTAGACTTTCTGTTTCTCACTCTGCCCCCCCAGAGCGTAGGCTGGGGGTGAGCTTAGGGTTGGTAGGGGACACAGCTGGGACAGCTGACCTGAATTGCCCAAAGGGGTTTGCCATGCCATATAGCATCATGCTCAGCAATAAAAATTTGGGGGGTAGTCCTTCGAAAGAGGCTGTTGCTTGGATACTGACTGGGTATCTTGTGGGAGATGGTGAGTGATTGCCTTTGCATCATGTGGTTGGTTGGTCAGCTTTTTTCTTTCGTTCAGTTATTTAATTGACTTTCTCTTGACCCACACGTTTTTCTCACTTTTGCTCTTCCTGTTCTCTCCCCCATTCTGCTGCAGGGGTGGGAAGCAAGTGGGCACCTGGGTGGGTACTTAGTTGCTGGCCAGGGTCAACCCGCCACATTGGGTGACAAGTCACATGTAGGAGTTGAGTATAAAATACATGACTGAAACAATTTGAATGCTCAACAAAGTGTAGTTCTCTGAAAGTATTTTGTGCATGTGAGAATCTTAAATGCATTTAATTAGTGATTTTTTCTTTGGTTAATAGATAAAATTCCGACTAGCATAGTGCATTTTTTTGATGTCCACACCAAATAATTTCAAGATTTAAAGGAATATATAAAATAATATTGAAGTTCATGAAGAAAAAAAATCAGCATGCATATTATCTAGATGAAGAAAAAGATCAGCATGCATATTATCTCAATTTAATGTGAAAATAGAAATTTTAATATTGAATTTATTGCAAACATATATGTAGTATAGTTCTATACAGCATTAAGCCAGGTAGTTTCTAATTCGTTTTTAATCTTGAGATTTTGAATTTTTATCAAAACCTAGCAAAAGCATCTAAAAGCAAGATTTATCCCCTGGGGCTGGTCAAGAAGAAATACCACTCATAAACAGGAGCAACTATCTAAATTTCAGCATTACTGATGTTAGAGCAAAACCTTTATTTTTGTGTTTCTGTATTTTCAATGTGCAATAGGTATTGGATTACAGAGTTCTGGGTTATGTTCAAAATGGACTCTAAACTATCCACAATGATGGAGGAATTTCAAGAACTGGTTAAAGCTAATGGTGAGGAGTTACACTGTCGTCTGATTGACACAACTCAAATGTGAGTGCCAAAGTCTCAATAAGCTCAGAAAACAAACTTTTTCTCTGAATTTCCTTTATTCAAATACAGTGTCTTTCCAGTATAGCAGGATAATGGTCCTATAGTGAGTTAATTTTAATAAGTCACACGTTGTCTGTCCTTAGAAGGGCTTGTAGATCATTATAGATGAAATATGTATTACACAGAATGCCTTACAAGAATGACTTAGGTTGAATTTAACTGCTGTGTAGACTTTGTGCTGATTCTTTACCCTAGATAAATTTTACTGTATCCAGGGAACTTAGAAAATTTGTAGAAGCCTGATGATTTTGAAAGCTCACTTGAAGTCAATGAGAAAGGAGAATGTATTAGAATACATTTTGAGTGGGTAACAGATGAGGTTAAAAAAAAGTGGTTTTATATTTTTAACACCAAAGGTAAATGAGATTATACAGTTTATTGCATTGTCAAACTCATGATACTATTTTACGTGATTTTAGTTATAAAATTACTTGTCCTGTCAAGAATAAATCTTACAGCTAAATATCACATAGTTCTTTCTTGGGAAGAGAACCTTCCTTGTTATATGAGAGTAAGATAGTTCTGTGGAATAGTGTAACAGCATCAATTCACACTTTGGTTGGAAATACAGAGGCAAAAGCAGAGCAGAATTTGGCATGCATTTTATATCTGTTGTGAAAAAGGATATTTAGTTATTGAAATCCAATAAAATTTCATTACTTTATGGGTAAATAGCATGGGGAGACACTACCCTCAGAGGCTGGTTCAAAGAAATCTGTAAGAATTATTAAATGGAGGAGTGCTGGATGTGTTCAACAAAGACACAGTTACGGACAACAATTCTGGAAGTGCAATATATAGTCTTATGCTGTTTGGTAATATAGTTGTATTGTACTTACGTGCCACATCAATATAATAAAGACTAACAATAGCGTTTTGTCATATAATCTGTAATGCATAAAAAAGGGTTGATGTTTAGAAACTCAAATAATTCACATTTTTTGCAGTAAGGCATGAAAACAATGTTACTTTTCTATTAGGGAGAGAGGAAAAGTTTGCTCTTCAGAAAATAACTCTGGGTAATTCTGTTCTAAAATTTGTCTAACAGAAATTCTAGGGATTGGTCTAGAAAGCTGACACAGCGTGTAAAGGCCAACACCAGTAAGAAACGGAAAGTCTCGCTTCTTTTTGATCATCTTGAACCAGAAGAGCTGTCGGACCACCTTACCTATCTTGAATTTAAGTCTTTCAGAAGAATATCAGTAAGTGATTTTTATTTATTTGTTTAAAACAAACATGGGAAGGACATAGGAGAGATTAGAGACGGGCAGTGTGACTAGATTAACCCTGCAGTGCAAGCTGTTGGACAAGCTGAGTCTGCTTTTTGTTTTAGCAGTGGTGAAGGTGGGCAGTGGTACTTATTCTGAGTACATACCCTTTTGCTGCAGTGATTTGAGAGAGGGAGAATGAACCTTTTGAGCAACTGTGGAACAGAGTTGGGGCAAGGTCAGTTAGAAGGAAGAGGAATAAACCATTTGATCATCTTCCAAGATGAAGTTTTCAGAACAAGTGGTGTCATTGGGCACAGGAACAAGCAGCCTCCTTTGACTCAAATCAGTGATCTGGCTGAAATGGGATGACAGAAACTTGGAACATTCTCCTAGAACGCTAAGCTCCTGTGGCTGTGCAGCATTCTTGTGCAGTGACTAATGGACTGTCTGTATAGAAGATGTCCACTGGACTCTGCTTGCCATTTTTGATTGTGCATAATAAAATAAAGACTAGGGATAAGAAAGCATTTAAGAAAATGCCATTTTTAAAATGTAACAGGGGTTAAAAATATTTTATTATTCAAGCTTTCAAGTACATAAACAATTCTTAAGGATTTATCTGATTTGTGTTTTCTTTCATTTGATCTGATTTCTCAGCTTTGTTGGCAGCTGATAAGATGCTAACTTCCCTCTGCACCTTGGCTTCACGTGCATCCTTGTATACTACAACATGACTTCTATTCAAACCTTATACAGTTCAGACATGAAAAAGAAAAGTGAATATCAGAGACCAAAATCTAAGATGGTTGCAAAGTCAGTGGGATGATAACAGTGAAAATAAAGTTGAAATGTTAGGGGTTTTTTGTTTGTTTTGGTTATTTAGTGTTTTGGGGCTATTTTTTTTTTAGAATGCTACGATGTGAAGATGAAGTCTTGCAAGGAAAGGGGCTCTCAGTAGATTGTGGAAGATTTCACAGTTGTGTGTTAGTATACTTTATTTTGAGCTGACAGCACATGACTCTTCATGTTCTGTGTTAAATTCAAAAAGCCATAGAACCAAAGTTATGCACAGATTGCTGCCTGTAGGCCGTAATAGTATGCAAAGCTTATGTAACTCTCAACATTTTCAAGCTCTGTGCAGACATGAGGTAATTAATGATTAATGAGCATAACAAGTATGATTGCAGTCAGAGTGTCAGGTGTGTTATAGAGTTCCAACAGTTACAAACTTGCATACATTTTCCTGTGTTGGTTTTTGTATAAATTGAGTTTACTGAAACATTAGTTAAGAAAATAATGTATAATGGATAAATAGCTAAATTCAATAACTCTTTGAAGAATGGGTTGATAGTATGCTGAGCCATAGAATCCTTTTGTTATTCTAACATGGCAACATATACCAGGAGCAAGGCTGCAAATGACCTGTTGTGTTATCAGTCACTGAAATAACTATTCATAGGTTCACTCATTTGAAAGTCTGAAAGGAATATTTGATCCTCTGAACATATAGAGCATACAGCAAAATCTTCCACGAGACACCACCTATCTTGCAGCAAAGAAAAACATAGGGAGTAGTGTTCACAGGGTGATGACTGCAGGTGTGCTGGTGTTTGGAAACCACTTTAATTTATAGCTATAAAATACAGGGAGGTTACACTCTTTTGTAAGAATCTGGTTTCTAGTTTCCTGATGTGGCTCAAAAGTTAGTCGTTGCAATACCAGACTCTTGAATTATTTAAGTACCTGGACGTCTTTACCATATCTGCCACTAACAGTCTTGTTACAGCTAACCTCGTTAATAAATTCTTGCATCAAAACTATTTCAAAACTTTAAGTAGCATGTTAGATATAAATTTGTTCAGCATTTTAAAAAAAAATCTTTTCTGTAGGAGAGAGCTGCTGAGAACAAAATATAAACTAATCAAACTGATCCATAATTGTACTGAGACTGCTATGAAGTCCATAATTATGTAGTCAGATACTGAAAAATTATCTGTCTGTATAGAACAGTTGCTTAAATTTCAAGACCCAGCCAGATCTGGCTGAGGTTCAAAATTCAAACAATAATTGTAAGTAAGTACTATGTAATCTCAGAGACATTATTACTGTTAATGTTCCATTTTTAATAAGAGGACAAATCTAGAGATGTCTGCTGTCATATCTGCTTTATAAAGTGTTAATAGTTCTTATTAAATGTATGTAAAAAGTTAAAAAGTGGTGAGAAAGTAAGAGAGGGAGAGCAAGAAACAATCAGCAGCCTCACAATTTATGACCTTTTTTTAAGGATCAGTGCCATTCAGGATGTTCCTGTGGCCTTAAGGAAGGGATGTGTGTCTATTGCAGCTATGAATGTTTTTGATAAGATGTTAGTATTAGTGGCCATAGTAAAGAATGGACATATAAATCCTGTGTCACATTTTCTGATTATTCAAATTCTTGTGTATACTTGTTAATGGATAAGTCAAGAGAATGGATAAAGATTGCATCAACAAGAACAAATGATTGCTTCTCGTTGTTCTTAATGGGAAGAATGGCTTAAAAAAGGTATCTGTTACATACAGGTGTCTACTGAACAATCTGGGATCATTTTCATTTAATAAGAGAATCTCACGAGCTGTATTAAAAATATTAAGGAATCTGTAGCCCAGTTTTGTAGTAATCTTATAGAACTTGCTTTTTGTATTAGTGCAGCTTAATTCAAAAGTGAGCACTAGCTACATAAACTGAACAGTTAACTTCCTTAAACCATCACATTTCAAATTCAATTTAACCTTGCCTGTGATTCAATGAATCTATGGACCCACTGAGGCTGGGAGGAAAGCCCCAGTTCTACTCATCCTAGGGTTTATAAGAGCCACGACTCCTGAGATACACGAGGGAAACGATGGGATACAAATTATGGTGAAAAGATACTTTCAGTTAATTCAATTAGTTGAAGCCGCCTGCTTTGAGCGGAACAGAGCTTTGACAAAGGAGAGATTTCAGTTTTACGGATATTTAAGTTGTAAAATATATCTTGTATATTTCATTTGAAAAGCAGACAGCTCATCAGGTATATGAAACTGTAGATGCGTTTTCATTGACACTTTTTTGTTTTTTAAGTTCTCAGATTATCAGAACTACATTGTGAATAGCTGTGTGAAGGAGAATCCAACAATGGAAAGATCAATTGCTCTTTGCAATGGTATCTCTCAGTGGGTGCAGCTCATGGTTCTCAGCAGACCAACACCACAGCTTCGGGCTGAAGTGTTCATCAAGTTCATCCATGTTGCACAGGTCAGTTAAATTTTGTACATGTGTGGTGTTTATTTTGTCTTTCTCTGATACAGCCCTTTAGTGGCTCTTCCTACGCTACTACTGTAGAGTCATCTGGGAGTGTTGTCCTGGTCTCCTGGTTCATCATACAGCATGCGTATTTGTGTATGCTGTAGTTTCATACCAAGTGTTCAGATATTACACTGTTGTGGCACCGGCACTTTCTCATACCCGTTCTGAAGAAATTGTTTTCACTGAAAATCTAGACTTGCTTTTGAATCAGCTGGTGAGATTCCAAGCTGTGACTTCATACCTTTCAAAGCATGGACCGCTATCATGTCTTTGGCTGTAATTAGAAGCATTTCTACCACATATGCCTTATTGGATAGAAACAGAGCTATTGTCCTTTTGGTATTCTTTGGATACTAATTCAACTGCAGTCATAACCAAGATAATAAGTACTGTTTCCTAGTTGTGGTAGACTGTGGGAAGAGGGAGAAATACTGAGAAGACTTACTGTATTCTGCAGAATTAATATCTGATTTAATAACAATAGAATAAGTACATGTTCCACCCTGTAAAATCACAACTCATTACTAAAATGAATAAAATCAGATGGATAGTGGCACAAAACTTGTAGGACTTTAGAGGAAGACAATAGACTACGTTGTAGAATTTGGATGTGCATATTGAGCAACTTGTACCATTACATAATAAATATTGATTGGTTTTTTTGCATGTCAACGCAGAAGCTCCACCAGCTGCAGAATTTCAATACGTTAATGGCAGTGATAGGAGGTCTCTGTCACAGTTCCATTTCCAGACTCAAGGAAACAAGCTCATGTGTTCCTCATGATGTAATTAAGGTTGGTATTGCTCCTCTAAGTTTTATAAATAAGAGAACCTTTAACTTTTTTGTCATTGCACACAAAAAACCCCAACTTTACTTCATTGGATAAGATGGAGAGACAGAAAGAAAAGAAAAAGGAAGACTTCCTTTGGTTTTGGAGGGTTTTTCTTTGTCATTTCATCTCTACGACACCAATTACTCCTACACTTTCAACCCCACCTTTCTTCAAGATTTGTATAGCTTCTTTAAAGTTTCTGTTTTAATACTCAGATGTGGCAAGCTGCATTTTCATGTAGTAATGCATATACAGTAGTATAGAATAGCATTCAAACATGAAAGCAGAGAACTGGATCTTTGAACATTTGAGAAAAAAACCTATTGTCATCCATAGCAACATTGAGCATCCAGAGTCTATGACATGCTAGCACAGACCTCCGCACTTTGAGTTTAAAAGTAAAAGGACTGGTTTTGGTCATCTAGACTTGCTTTTGAATCAGCTGGTGAGATTCCAAGCTGTGACTTCATACCTTTCAAAGCATGGACCGCTATCATGTCTTTGGCTGTAATTAGAAGCATTTCTACCACATATGCCTTATTGGATAGAAACAGAGCTATTGTCCTTTTGGTATTCTTTGGATACTAATTCAACTGCAGTCATAACCAAGATAATAAGTACTGTTTCCTAGTTGTGGTAGACTGTGGGAAGAGGGAGAAATACTGAGAAGACTTACTGTATTCTGCAGAATTAATATCTGATTTAATAACAATAGAATAAGTACATGTTCCACCCTGTAAAATCACAACTCATTACTAAAATGAATAAAATCAGATGGATAGTGGCACAAAACTTGTAGGACTTTAGAGGAAGACAATAGACTACGTTGTAGAATTTGGATGTGCATATTGAGCAACTTGTACCATTACATAATAAATATTGATTGGTTTTTTTGCATGTCAACGCAGAAGCTCCACCAGCTGCAGAATTTCAATACGTTAATGGCAGTGATAGGAGGTCTCTGTCACAGTTCCATTTCCAGACTCAAGGAAACAAGCTCATGTGTTCCTCATGATGTAATTAAGGTTGGTATTGCTCCTCTAAGTTTTATAAATAAGAGAACCTTTAACTTTTTTGTCATTGCACACAAAAAACCCCAACTTTACTTCATTGGATAAGATGGAGAGACAGAAAGAAAAGAAAAAGGAAGACTTCCTTTGGTTTTGGAGGGTTTTTCTTTGTCATTTCATCTCTACGACACCAATTACTCCTACACTTTCAACCCCACCTTTCTTCAAGATTTGTATAGCTTCTTTAAAGTTTCTGTTTTAATACTCAGATGTGGCAAGCTGCATTTTCATGTAGTAATGCATATACAGTAGTATAGAATAGCATTCAAACATGAAAGCAGAGAACTGGATCTTTGAACATTTGAGAAAAAAACCTATTGTCATCCATAGCAACATTGAGCATCCAGAGTCTATGACATGCTAGCACAGACCTCCGCACTTTGAGTTTAAAAGTAAAAGGACTGGTTTTGGTCATCTGATTCACAGATTCACAGGTTCGACAGAGTTGGAAGGGACCTCTAGAGATCATCCAGTCCAACTCCCCTGCTAAAGCAGGATTGCCCAGAGCACATCACTCAGGACTGCATCCAGGCAGGTCTTGAAAATCTCCAGAGAAGGGGACTCCACAACCTCCCTGGGCAGCCTGTTCCAGTGCTCTGATATTTCCCTAAGACAGATTTTATCTAGTTCACTTGAACAAACTTAACCCTAATATCCACACACATTGTAATGCAGTGGAATGTTTGGAATCAGTTGTCATTTCCAATTAAATGCTTGTGAAATACAGATGGATGTATTTTTTTGCTGACATTCCGACTACTGAAGCTGTGAAGGAAAGAGTATTTTTTAGCAATGAAACGGCTTCTTTAGAGACTAATGTACTTTATTATTTTATCTTGTTTGGGGCCTGAAAGGTTTCATATAGTTATCTAATGAACCTGTTTGATCACAGTGTGATCAGCTTGAATGACCCGTGCATACCTGGAGTACAGACCAGAAGTATGACCTCCCACTGATAACGGCTGCAGCTCTCAGGATCAGTTAGCAAGCTTATTTTAGAACCATGTTGTTTTACGAATGTTGTCATTATGAGGAATGGACTGCATATATGTCCTTCATTTGAATAACTTTTTGCATCAAGAAATTGTATACAAGCGCTGAAAGAAGCAAATAAATAAAGGCTGGTAATTAGTGACTTGAGAACACAATTTCACATTTAACTATAACAAAAGTTTGTGAAGGTTAAAAATCAAGCGGTTTGACAGAAACTTCCACAAGAAAACGTTAGCCCATTGCTTTTATAATGTTAAGAGTCAGCTTTTGTTCCTGGATAGCTTTAAACAAGGGAAATACTTACACTGCTAGACTTATTATTCCTTTGGCCTTTACAAGTTTCTTCTTCATTTCCATGGAAAAGTTTTCTTAAAAGCAAACATGTGCCACCTTGAACTGCAGTGGGAGTTCTGGTCATGCTGCGATGGGACTGTAGCACAGTGTAGGGTTTCTCTGCCAAGACTTTCCAATTCCAGCTGGTGACCTGAAGCCAGAAAAGTGCATTCCACATTTTGAGGTGAAGATGGGTGCCTTTCTGAAGGTCAGAGAGCTTGTGCCGTGCTTATACATTAACTACATACACATCCCCTTGATTTGAGGGGATTCTCTTTCTTTTCATTGACTAAATAGGGAACCTAGGAAGACAAGCATTACAGATTAGGCTATAGATTAACTATCTATAATTACATATTATAGCTAAATTAGGTGAGGTGAATACCTAGATTTCATTTGAAGCCTAAGGTTTTAAAATCTGTTTCGAGAGTCATTGTGAGTAAACACATTAATGATAAAATGGGAAATTCTTATGCTGTGTGATCAGAACAAAAGCAATAACCAATTCTGATTTTTTTGTTTTCTTTTTATTTTTAGGTGTTTAATGAAATGACAGAACTGCTTTCATCATACAGAAATTATGATAGTTACCGACGTGCCTATAATGAGTGCAGTAACTTTAAGATCCCAATCCTTGGGGTCCACCTGAAAGACTTGATATCGCTTTATGAGGGCATGCCGGACTACTTAGAGGACAAAAAAATTAACATATACAAACTATACTCTCTGTATAACCACATAAATGAGCTGATACAACTCCAGGAAATTCCGCTTCCCCTGGAGGCTAATATGGACCTTGTTCATTTGCTTACAGTAAGTCTGTTAGATGAGATAACTACCTCCATTTAAAAAATATTTTCTTATACCTCCCAAACAACTAAGTAGAGAATTCCATTAATTATAAATACATAATATTGTAAGATTATTCTTTTTCCTTAAGGAAACGTACAATAATAGAAGGAGAGAAAAAGTTACTGGTGCTGATGTGTTTGGTAGCAAGGGTGCCGGTTGTGATGTCAGTAGAGCAGTGCACTTCCAGTTATTTCTGTAAGGGAAGGAAATGGTTATTTCTGCTTTGCTATAGCAGTATGCATCCTGTCTGTACTTTCACTAAAGAAGTGCTCTGAATCCTCTGCTGATTAAGCCTAAGTGGGGACAAAGGTAGAAAGCTTCCTTGAATGCACCTTGGAGGCAGAAGACTGCATGCAAAGCTTCCTTGTCTTAAACACACAAAGTTTCACATAAAAGTTCAGTCCCTCAAGATGTGTGAGGTTAAACATAACCACACTTCTAGCCAAGTTTCTTCTGGTACTAAAAAAACTGTCCCACATAAACGTTAGTCAAATACAGTCGTGTTACTCTTCCAGTCATATCTAGTCAGTTACTAATGAAATTGCTAGTACCTGGGATGTATGTCACAACAATAGTGTTAGCTTCTCCTAGTTTAAATGTTAAAATAGTACCTTTTATTGAAATAGTAAATCTACCTTTCTTGTTTCTCAGTTTTGTTTGGCCTTAACAAGTACCTCAGCTTGGAAAGGCTTAGACAGGCTGCTTCCACTTCCTGGTCACAAGCCCTGTTTCAGCAAAAAGCTGGTAGATAAAAGTGATTACGCGGTTGAGGTTATTTGTTCTCTCTGGGTGCATTTGACTGTGAAATTTAAGCACATATACCTAAGGCCTGAAATAATGCTACATAAAGTGGTGGATTTTTCTTCCTGCTAAATGTTTAAAAATGTTTTGTCTCAAATCATTTTAAGTTCCTCCCCCCCTCCCTTATTTTTAAATAATGTTTTATAAAAATATCTATTAAAAATATGTAGAACTTTGGCCACAATTTCATGCAGCTATATGTGACAGAACATAAATTAAAAAAAATACTTTATTTCAAAGCAGGGGCTTCTAATCTGCTAATATTCCAGGGTGCATATTTTTCCTGTTTGCTCTCTGATTTTTTCCAAGTCTTTCTCCTTCTTCTGTCTCCTTTACTCATATAGTTACCCATTAGCAGGCAAATAAGTTTGGAGAGGTATTAGTAATTATATACATAAGTCAATAATTCATAGAAGTATCATAACATTTTGACTTTTGTTTTTTGAGTGTCAGAAACTACTTTAAGATAGAATCTAAAATTACTCACTATTATTATTACAGCAGTATTTCTTGCAGTTCTTCACAAGAAAGTTATTGCAAATCTGCAATTTAAGTAAGGTTATTCATTGGATAAACCAGCATTTTTTGGTTCCTTAGTTTATATGCATATGACTGCCCAATCTTGACTCTCTGTAATGTTTATCTTTTCTTTGGACTTCACATAGATTGAGGCTTGTAACACATTTATGTCTGGCTTTTCTATTCAAACACGTGTCTAGCATGAATATTTTCATGTGAATATTCAAAAAGTGTTATGTTACCAGTCTTCAATCTCAGCTTGCAATTTGTTTCCAGGCGTTAAAATATATCTATACTATTTTCCAGGACACATGCAAAAGCAAATGTATAAAATTGATAATTTTTTCCAATTCCTTTATTTACCCAGGTGTAACGTTTCTCACTTTACATAACTGCTGTTAACAGCTAAAGGCTCCTAATAAATATATGCAAGTCCGTCTTTTATCCTTATCATATACTTCTTAGTTCAGCATGGCCACAGCTGGGTTGGATAAATGGACATGTTTAACCATGAGTTTTCTGAGAATTTGAGTTGATGTACAGTTTCATTGGAATGGTGCTTTTGTACTTGCATGATAGTCCACTTGAATATTATGGTAGTAACAGTTTTTTCTTAGTTACTTATTAACTGACTGCTAATTATGCCTACAGTCACTTGCTGTGCTAATGACTTTAGCTGTGTAACATTACAGATTTCCAGATAATGGCAATAACAGTCTGGAATTTAGAAGTGTACCCATTTCAAGTCACTGTGAACACCTGTGCAGGTCAAGTGCATTTTTTCTAGGTGCAACCTAAATTAAAAATTAATGCACCAAAAAATACTAATTCATGCCAGAAATAAGTTTATCAAGTAATAGTTACTGTTTTGGATTAAACTAATGTTGTCTTTCTTTTCAGCTGTCTCTTGATCTTTACTACACAGAAGATGAAATTTATGAGCTTTCCTATGCACGAGAGCCACGAAGTCACCGAGCTGCTGTAAGGGCCTTTCCAGATTCTTAACAAAAAGATTTTTTTAATGAGTAATGTAACTTTTTTCCTTTGATTTAATTGAATTTTATTTTATGCTAAACTGGAAGCATTTTAGCTTTATAGACAGAGCAAAATCTGTTAAAGCGTAAATTGTTTGGTTGATGATGAAGAATATATGGGAGAACTGATACCATATCAGGTTTTATAATATGGACACAAACACAAATGAAGTTACTTGTGTAGAGGCATGACATCAGGCTCTGTTTTTGCAATTGATACCAATTCTTTTAAATGAAGAATTCATATGTGATTCAAATGATGAAACCCACAAGTGTTATATTGCATGTTTGGTCCTGTATTACAAATATGGAAAAGGTGCTGAATTTACAGGACTGTCAGACAATTTAAGGAACAACCACTGTTTTGGACAGTTCAGGGAAGAGCTTCCTCTGCAGTACCATGTAATTATCGAAAGTATGATGTTGGGTCCACCAGGCCATTTCCGTATCACATAGTCCATTGTCACAAATGAAAGAAGTGGGATACTGAAAGTCTTTCCATGTGCTACTAATGAAGTTCCATTCAATTTATTCTAGCCTTTGACACCTTCCAGACCACCAGTAGTTGTAGACTGGGCCTCGGGAGTAGCCCCAAAACCTGATCCAAAAACTGTCAGCAAACACGTTCAGAGGATGGTAGATGTAAGTATGGTTGGCCCCTTTACTTTACATATCAGTCATAGCCTTAATCTCTAGGTATGAGAAGGTACAAAGAAAGAAAAAACAGTGGACACATTCAAAGCTGTGCTGAGTTTGTAAGTACTTCTATCCTCACAAAGAGATATTTTTGCCCAGCTGTAAATAGCAGCAGGTGAGGTAGGGAAGGGCATTCCTTGAACGGCTAAGGAGCCAGCAGGGAGTGTGAATGCTGGTTTGTATAATTCCACTCTTCCAAGGAGCCAGGGAGTCCATTTCTACCAGGGACTCCAACATCATGTTGTTGGTGGGGTGTGAAAGTGGGCCTCTCAACAGTTTTGTTACTGGCAGCCGTTGCTTTTTCTCTCTCTTTTGGGCCACTCGCTTTACTGGAAACCATCAAGTAAGCTCAGATGATTGATTCCAAAACTGATGGAGAGAGACAGAGAGAGATGGGTAAAGAGATTGTCTTTGCATCTCTGCTTCATCTCTTTTCCTTCTAAACACTTCTAATATTGCTAGATGTCCTTTGATACAAGCTCTTTTGAAATATATTACTAAATTTGGCCTAAGAGTGCTGCTTGCCTTAGGGCCAGAGACAAACAGTAATGTCATCCCACAAGTGGAAATAGGTGTCTACATGGCAATTCTGTCATATAACTACTTGTTGCAGAACATTGACCTGGTGAAATAAGCTAGGCAGTTATGCTGATTTGGCTACAGACATCATCATTGAGAGCATTACTACAACTTATATATGTAGGCCTGGACATAATGATCTTAAAGTAAAGCTGAAGAAGAGCTGTCATTGTGTAGTGAAGCATTTAGTCCAGCCTATGTTGACTTACCTACATTTTGCTACAAATCAAGAAATCATAATGCTGGTTGAGTCTCAAGCAAAAAAAAAAAAAAGAGTTAGACTGTTGCACTGTTTAATAGATATTGGGAGGAAGTGGGAGAGGAAATCCATAAATATTGTAGAGGCTTTCTAAAGTGGTAATTCAGCCCACCCATCCACATTATAAACTATTCTCCTTAAACTATTCTCTTACACAGTCTGTCTTCAAAAATTATGACCATGACCAGGACGGATACATTTCCCAGGAAGAATTTGAAAAGATAGCTGCCAGTTTTCCATTCTCATTTTGTGTAATGGCTAAGGACTGGTGAGTACCTATTTCTGCTTACCACTGTTTTGGGACGGGATTTTGGCTTTTTGTTTGTAAATTTTCTATCTATCATTAGGGTGGTAGAATCACTCTTTTCACCCACAAATAGAAGTCAAAACATAACTGACAAAAGCATCTTCTAAATGTGTTGTGAATGACATCTTCATAAGCTTACAGCTTACAGGTAACCAGGCTGATGTAGGAGGAAGAAGAGATAATAGAAATATTTTTTTTAATTATGTTCAGTATGTACTACTAAAGAACTTTTCTGAGATTAAAATAGAGAATTGGAAAATGTATATTTTGGTCAAATTAAGAACAATTTTCTTAATGTATTAATGCATAGAAAAATGCAATAATGATTATTCAGAGGTTTTCTATGAAGTAGTGCGGCTGCATCACATATGCAGATATTCCATTCATCCTTACAGGCTGCATTTTAAGTGCATAGATAAGCTTCTGTAGACTTTGGGAGCAGTTGAAAAGGTTACTGAGATCACTGTAGTTTTTTGGCCCATGAAACTATTGCCATATAAATTGTGAAGAAAGATATGTTTAATTCTCCTTATGCTTTTTAAAAACTATGTCTCATAAACAGCTTTTCTTGTTTATTTTCAGGGAAGGTCTGATTAGCAGGGATGAAATAACAGCTTACTTTATGAGGGCTAGTTCAATCTACTCCAAACTAGGACTTGGCTTTGCTCACAACTTCCAAGAGACCACTTACTTAAGGCCTACTTTCTGCGACAACTGTGCTGGATTTGTAAGTTTACTTTTTAGTAAATTCTGTTAATGTTGTTTAGAATAATGCTTTTTTAAATGTCATAATCACCACGTGTCATATACAGAAATGGACCTATATAAAACACCAGTGAAGCTATATAGAACACCAGGCTTCTGCCTGTGTAGCTATTGAAGGTACCCTTTATACCCTCTTGGCAGTACTGTTATCTGTTTAAACATGGCTCTACCTTGTGGTGTTGGTTGTGTCACCAGACTCAGGCAAGACTTCCAAATCCAGGGCCTTCCACTCCATGGGGCTGTTAGAACTCATGTCCTGGTACAGAAATGACATGCCCCCTGCCTATGGCACAGAAAGATGTAGTAAAACTAACTGTTCTACCAATTCCCAGTTTAGCTGGGGTCAAACAAGGGTGCTGAGATAGAATTCTCCATCTACTCCAGTTCTGCAACTCCTCTGGGGGCTGTCAGATCTGCTAATGTATTTGTTAGAGACTAGCTCAACGTATGTTCTTTGTGATTGAGGAATGCACATAAGATACTCTGTTTACCTTATGATAAAGAGGTAAATAGTTCATATTTTGACCTTAACTTTAAAAGGGTAGAAAACCAAGATATTCTGCAGGAGCTCAGACCTTAGAAATGAGTGGAGTTTTTAGTGGATTTTTGTATCTGGAGGTTTCAAATGTGCAGAGAAATATGTTAATACATAGTCTTTGTTTGAATTTCAGCTATGGGGAGTCATTAAACAAGGATACAGATGCAAAGGTGAGGTACTTTATACTTTGTTAATTTTACTCCATAATTGACGGTGAATGACAAAAAAACCTGATCATCCTGAGATCCGTTGCTATGCCTATGGTCGTATTTAATCTGACCTCTCAGGGAGGAGAAGACAGATTCAAGAATAAAACAGACACAGATGGTCCAGAAGAAATGTAGAGAGGAAGGAACTTCTAACTGATAGCTCTAAGCCTTTGCAGAACATCACTGAATTCAGAGGGTTTGGGAAAAGACCCTCCTATTCCAATGGGCGAAAACACCAATGCTCTGTGAAAACTGTGCAGCACATTCACAACATGTATTTTGCAGAGTTTTCTTCCTCAAACAGGTATCTGCTCTTACACTCAAAACACTGTTGTGACTGAATGTCGCTGTTTTCTGTTTTCACAATGAAAAGGAGTTTTAAGCGTATATAGCAAAGGGACGTCATTGGTCTGTTTACCAGGTGCAGTTATTATAGGTAATACATGTAGAGAACACTAAAGAAGCTTTCTTGCTTCCTGGGGAGGCAACGCAGTGCGAGAGCTGATCTTAGATGTTACAACAGAGCCACTGAATCGTGTGAACTTTGTTCTGTTTACAGACTGTGGGATGAACTGTCACAAGCAATGCAAAGACCTGGTTGTGATAGAGTGCAAGAGAAGACCCAAAACTTCAGTTGCAGACAGCAGCCCAACATCTGCTCTTCCTTCAAGCCTCTGCCCAGTAGGAGTCAAAGAGCAATTCCATGGTGAGAAAAGATCCCATTAAAAAGATCAGAAGATCTAGGTAATCTTTCCTTTGCTCCTTTTAAAGCATAAGTGAGCCCGTACCAAGTAACGCCATTCCAGTGCTAGTCTGAATAGGTAAGGGCTCCCATTATGGGAGATCTCGTCACACTACACAATGTGTGGTGCTCAGATGCCACAAAAATGCAGTAAATCTTCTGCCAGACTCTCATGAGAACTAGGTGCCATGAACTGAAGAGCTGACAGGCTCCCTTAACTCTCTCATCTTGTGACAAGCAGGTCTTGGCACTCTCCAGTTTTTACCCCTGTTGTCACATTAATTAACTACAGTTTTCAGATTTCAACATGGAGTTTATAAAGTCAGTTTGTCTGTGACGACTATTTCGGAGAGCAATGAATGTAAAATCATTAGTTGGTTTATTTAAGAAAGTCATGTTTAATTACTGTTTCTCCTTTCCTGGGATAGGATCTTGACTCAATTTACCACATATATTCTACAGGACAAGAAGAAGGGCCATTCACATTTCCTAATGGAGAAGTAGTGGAGCACAATGAAGACAGCAAGGACCGGACCATTATGCTCATGGGTTCCTCAGCTCAGAAAATCTCAGTGAGACTGAAACCAGCTGTGGTTCATAAAGGGATACAGACTGATTCCGCACTCCTTGCTGGTGATGCATCTCGCAGGCAGACAGAGAAGAAAGAACATAGGATGCCAGAAAACCCGTACCTCCAGGCAGTTCCACCATCCCCGTGTCCAAGCCCACTTCTAGGGCGCAGAAAGGCGTATGTTAAATGGGAAAACAAGGAATCCAGCCAGAAAATGAAGGAGGAGCGTCACAGCTGGAAACCCTCGTACCAGGAGCTTGAGCAGGTACATATATGGTGAAAGAAATTCTGTTTTACACAAGAGTACTGTGAAGTCGTGGGAGGGTGTGGGGGAGTGGCTGGGTGGGAAGGTGTCACCTTATTACTCCAGTGTAATTGATTGCCAGAACAATCCAGGAGCAGCATCCATACATAATAAGCCACTTTATCTCCAGCAATGCTTCACTTCAAGCATAAATTTTAGTACTAGTACAGGGCTTGGGGAATAAACTTTGAAAACCTTGTTATGATTTGCTCTGATCCCTGTCAGTCTTAGAAGTGACAGGTGAGAACGTGAACATAATCCAATCACTTAGGACAGGATGATACTCCATAAACCAAGTAACGCAGTCTCAGATACCAGCTGCTGGGAAGTTTTAAGGGTCTACACAAAGGATACACCAGTGACTATGGAAACATTAAAATAAGTTACTGCTTCTGTTGCATTGATAAGAGCTGCACCAACTTACTTTCATGACAGTCAACCTAAACGTACAACCAGACAGCAGTCCTGAAACAAATTCAAAATAAAATACCATTTTCTTATTATTTTTTGTTTAGGAAAGAAATATTCTAAAGGCAGACAATGAAGGTTTAAAGATCCAACTGGAACAGGCACACAAGACAATTGAATCTCTCACAATCCAGACAAGAAACCATGTAGTTGACAACCTACAACACAGAGACTGCTCCTAGCAGATGAGAGGAAGGCTCCTGGGCAAGAATGTAAAACTGAAGGAGGGGTTGTGATAAAGCTGCTTCACCAACTGGACTGGAAAGAGAGTCCGAAGGATGTTAAGCAGAAATAGCCTCTTTACTCAACACATTTCCATATTAAACATGCACTCCCAAATGCAGAAATCCATTCCTTTGACTTAAGGTAATTTAGCATTATCTGTGCAATGAACTTGGTATCTTTTGGGTTTGCTTTCAAAAGGAGTGACACTGTTGCTGAAGTTTCTGTTCGTGATGAAGACCACGTGGATTCCCCAGTGACCTGGCTGCCAGCAGCACACCTTGTTCTACACGTGTTCTGACAAACTGGCTGTTCGTAAGACTCTGTCACCTCAGATTTGGCCCAAATTCAGGTTTGTAGAAACAAATGTTTGATAAAGCTATTTAAGTAAAACTGTAGAAATATTCTATTAAGAGAAACAGTTCCTTCTCTTTGTGGCTGAACCCAATTAAAATCATGAGGTGAACTGTCATCTTTATTTCCAAAATTTAATAAGAATATTAAATAAGTAGCTAAGTTAATGATATTTGATCCTTAGACTTTAAGATAAACTGACAATTTTTTTAACCTTCTTGCAGAATTTTAGAAGTCCTGCTGCTCAAACACTTACCTTTGTCAAGGTAAAACAGATGAGACTATAGAGAGTTTCCATTGAATACCGATCCCATTCTTGTGTTCCACGCTACAGCTTGGCACACTCAGCCCTACTTGTTTGGCTTTAAAGGACAGCTGGCTGTCCACGTCCAGTAGATACAGGACAGGGCTGATGCTTCTTCTCTCATGTCAAAGTGGACACGATTGTCAAGTAAGACCTTGAGGGCCATATATCTGAGGGGAACTGTACAGTAACCCCAGTGCAACAGTTCCTGTATTCCAGAGCTCCTAATGTCTTCTGGGCGTAACCAAGGTGTCTCCATTTTCTCTCTTGTAGATTTCACATGCACTTTAGGTAAAGAGGCAAGACGAGTGTGCTCTTCTGTGTGTAAATTTTGTATAGTAAAAGGTGCTAGGGAGGTAACTTTTCTTAAAGCTACAAAGTGTACATATTGGTAAGAGGCAACAAAACAGTCTTTCAAGTTACTGATTAAACCTACTTGTCAGAATAGCCAGTTCTAAAACTGCCTTTGCACTCCAAGCAAATCCATACACTTACAGTTGTATAAAACTTGCTTGCGTTTATCGAACAGGGATTTGCCATCACACAGGTAAACATCAGAAACTTATGACTTTGATGTATTTATTTACAAAGTCCACTTAGTGCTCCTCAAAACTTGTAAGTTAGTTTATGAAGTACGTTATGGACTGAAATTTAGCCAACCTGTTACAATAGCATGTGTGCTTTGTGTTCAAAGTGCTACAAATGTATGTTCCATCCACAATTTACAGTCATTGTCAAGCATATGAATGCTTTATTTATAAAAAAAAAAAGTCAATTTGAAACTGTTTGCCAATTTAGTGATTCTAAATTCTTGTTTTGAACTTGGATTGTGCTTGCATCTCTGTGTCTAAGTAAAAACAAATGGAGGGAAATAGATTTAGCAGATTTTGTGTTACCTTACTGTAAATACATATGGTATGTAAAGAACTGAAATGCGTATGACAAAACCCAGCAGCTGTAAAGATTGTGCAGCTTTTTCCTCATACACTAAACCTGAATTATTAACAATTAACATGGAAGTGCACTTTGATCAGGTCATGTCTGCAAATTTGCTTTGTGCATTTTCTGTAAGCTGCTTGATTTTGTCCTCTATTCAGGGAAGTAGAGCAAGGCATTTAGCAAATAAAAGTCTGCTTCTGCAACAATTAAAATAAACACGATAAATGTCAAACATATTTTCATATATTTCAAAAATACCCCCAAAGAGTAGCTAAGACTGATAAATCTTGTTGTGCAGCGAAGATAACTCTGCTCCCTTGTGGTCTAAACTCTGGATTCTAATAGAGTTTGTGTGTACACATACAATTTGTCTACTCTGGGCTGTGGAGATCATGAACAAGCTCTTATTGAAAAAGAAAAATTCCCTCATGTCAGCAGCTGGCCCAAAGGCTACTGTGTTACTCGCCTGTTGAGTACTAAGTACTTAATACTCAAAATGGAGGGATGACCATAGTTTTGTACAGTCCTAAATGCTAACAGCGTTTGTGTTGTCTCCTAGTTCCTACACTCAATCAGGATGATTTAAAAGGGATCTGTTTGCAGGAACCCCTTACAGAACAAGTGTGGGGTGCTTCGTCTTTGCTGAAAACTTCCTGCTTAAAAGAAGTCAGTTGATACCTGGAGAATTTCAGAGCTCTCCACGTACCTTCAGGTTCTCTGTTTGCCCAAAGCCCCGTACAGCTGGGGGTAGGTTGGTTGGTTGGTTTGTTGTGGTGGTAGTTCCCTTCTTACATCCTTTTCTGCTGCATGAAAGACTAATAGCAGAGACTGCCCCTTCTGGGACACTGCTGAAACTGACCAAGCTACTGAACAAAAATCACTCACATCTGTATTAATCTTCAAGCTGCTTTATGCCAGGGAAAAAAAATAAAAAATACAAGTACTAAGTGCTGTTTAAAAGTCATGTTAGCAAACACTGATAGTGAAAGTTATCTTGTCATGGCTAATTTAAATGAAAAGCACTCACCTTTGGTCCTTCTCCAGGCTCAGCTGTATTTCGTGTACATACAGGAAGAAAAAAAGAAGTGCCCCCCCATCCCAACTACTGTTTATTTTTAAAGTGTAAATTCTGATTGTTTAAAGATAAAAGTAAATAGACTGAGTAACATAACAATTAACAAGGCAGGGCTACTGCTCACATCAGATTAAACACAACTGCCTTTAAAGTGGCTTATATATGTTTCTGGAAATAGCTTTTTGTTATGGTATCAGTCTGTTATTTTGTTGTAACTGATCTCTATGGCAACTTGAAAAAATTTTGTTTTAATGCTGTTTGCGAAGATTGCAAAAGAAGTGTACAGATTGTAAAGATTTTATATAAATTGTAAGATTTTTTTGTTTAATATTTATAATAGAAAAAGATGTTAAAATTGCCCTTCATGCCTCCGAGTTTGTATCTCAAAGAAATCTAAACGAGCTGTATTCATCTTCCTTGACTCTGTCACCTGCGACACTGCTGCTGGATTAACCTCCTACCAGAGTCCCTCGTCTGGCTTCACCTGCTGTGAGCCTTGGAACCGCTCCTGAGAAAACCTAATAAGCTCAGTATTTGCAGATTATTCTTCTGGTATTTTAATGGTTGACACAGTACAGACACTGTTTCGCTACTTCAAGTATTACAAAGCACAATCCTTCATTAGCACAATCCCTGGCTTTTGTTAACAACACAAATTCTGCATAGATTTCACAGCATGATAGCTGAATTCAAACAAGGCTTCTGTCATGTCTGCAAATGCTGGCTATTACACAGGCACCACTGTACCACCAGAAAGACTTCTTTATCTCATAATAAACCTCAAAATACTGTATCTCAAATACGTGTTTATATGGGGTAATGAACATCCCTTCAGTTACCTTCAATCAGCTGAGGGAGGCGAGGGAAGAAGAGAAGGAGCGCAGACTCACCGCCGAGAACACAATTCCTGGTTATGGGGGCAAATCTGCTCTACAGGCTTGCACAGACAACACAAGATATTTTACTTCATAATTATAAAATTAAAAAATGAAAGTTTCAGAAGTAATTAGACGATATTTCCTTAGTTTACATAAAGACACAAGTAATGATCATATAGACCTATGTATTTTTTTTCACTAAAATAAAATTAAATGAGATTCCTTAGTAATCCCAGACAACATAATAGCCATACATTTGTTACATACCTTCTCTGTTGAAATTTTCCTATATTGTTATCTCCAGCGTTCTCCATTTTGGTCAAAAATAATTCAGTTATTTTTCATTACCATAAAAAGTAAATTTCATCACTATTGTAAATCACCAGCAGGAATTATTCCTTACAATCACACTACACAAGTGATGCAAATGACTTCAAATACAGTACTTTATTCCTTAGTGTTTACAGCCGTTAACAAAACTGTCTCACTCACACTCTGAAAAAAACCCAACCTGGTTTTCAAGTCTTGATCCAACAAAACACTATTCAGGTAGATAGTCACTAAGTGTGAATAAACACAAAAAAGCTCACAAACAAATGAAAATCTTTTACTCACAACAGAATTTTTGAAAAGACTTTTTTTTTTCCAAGACAAACATACAAATATGTATGTTTAACTCAATTTTTTTCATGGTATTATTGCATCTTTTGATAAATTAAAGGCATACATTCTGACAACAGAGTACAAAAAGATACCTCTATGAAACGTGGTGGTGCTTACTTCAGTTCTCAACTACTGGCTTCACATTTTGGAATTATTTAAGAAAAACTGTAATGCCCAGATTAAAAAAAGAAAATCCCCAACCTATTTAAATTTTCATCTTTTACATGATCTATGTAAAGACAATTGAAATAAGCTAATAAGTAATTTAACTGTTAGAATTCTATATTGGGCACAAAGCTGGTTCACTTGATGGTTTCCTTCATTATGAACCTCTCCTGCCTGCTACCACCAGGATACTCTGCTGAGTGTACAAGCACCAAGGCACAGCCACAGCTACAACAGCTCAACTAAACCAGGGCAACTTTGCATCTTAAGACTGGTCAAATCTTGCTGCACAGCTAAGCCATCTGATTTTCCTGTCATATTTCCCTGACTGCTGTTTGGAAATTACTTGTAGCAAAAAATAACATTGGGATGAGCAAACTGAATTTTCTATTAAGGCTTTGGTTCTTAAAAACTACTGTCTCCATTCCTTTGTTGACTGACACTTCACCTCCAAGGCCAGTGGTCTCGCTTGCGTGTCATCAATTTGTGAGCTATTCCAGAGCATTAGGCAAAAATCAAGCTCAAAAAAGCATGAAAACGAGTACTACGCTCCCACACGACTCACAAGGGTCTCTCCATAAGGACAGCTGAGGCTGACAACAGTTTAGGCCAGAAAGGAGCGTAGAAAAATTTGGCAAAAGAACTATATTGCTAATAGTTGGCTGAAGTTAAGCCATTATTTCCAGAGTTCGCACCCAAACAAACATGTTCAAACAAGAAAAACTCCTGGCCTTTTTCATTAGGCACCTGCTGGGACCATGAAGTATGGGCAAGACTGTATCTACCACACCACAAGCAGCACTCTCAAGCAGACTATGATCAGAGAGGAAACAACAGGAGCGAAACTTCTGAAGTTTATCTGGATTAAAACTTCAAATGAAAAGGCTGGTGATGGGTAATTGATAAAACCTGACACAGGCTTTTGAAAGAGATAATAATCTGAAGGAGCTTTACATTAATGCATAAAGCTGCCTATGAAACAGGACACAACGCACAAGTTCCTGAAGATAAAACAACATCTTTAAAGCACACCAAAAATGGACATCAACAGGAAATTTATGCAGAAAGAATTCATACCTGTGGAACATAAAACCAACATCAGGTCCTAAAGTTCAACCTGCCGTTACACCAACCTGCCGTACTCAACTGAAGTACTTCAAGGTTTCTGTGCTATGCAATCAGACACCCCGAGATTTATCAGATGCCTCCCTGACCCTGGTAAATACTGCCTTAAGTATATATTTGGGCATCATCTCCCTGTCCCCCCTCTGTACTCAGGAACGGCCTCACAGCAGGGGAGGAGATCTAAAAGATGCTGGACGGCAGAAACTGTCATTAACTGGCAGCTCTAAATTTAATTCTTGTCTACGTGTATTTACAGCAATAACCATATGAAAGCTAACTCCTTTGCTCTAGAGTGACCCTGTCTATGTTGGAGAAGGCACCCCAGTAACATATCAAGAGTTTGAGCAGAACAGGTGAGCAGAACAACTGGCTGGCAGAGTAAGAGAGAGAAGTCACTGAGGAAGGACAACTGCTGTATGAGATGTCTTATCAGCTGGGCATCAGCAATTCCCAAACAGAGAGCATGAGGGGTGGAGAGAAGGGGAGGAAAAAAAAAGAACATACCATTTCTTTTCTTTTTTTCTCAAGAAGCTCAGCTTATTTAACCTTTATGTCTCAAGGCTGATTCAGAAAGAGTATATAAATGAACTCTTACCAGACATGATGGCTGCAGACGTTTCCTGCCCAATCTGATCTTAAAATATTTTTATGAAACACCAATAAGATGGAAAACAGGTAAAATGAAAATAGATACTATCAAAACTCACCATGATTCTGAGTTTATGGTACACGTTCTGACCTGATATACTTATAAACATACAAACCAACCCTTACTAGTTTCTGTAGAGTATTAGTTCAGAATGTTACTTTTATGTGAATTTCTGGAAGAGTAATAAATCTAATAGACTAATTCTGACCAAAGCCTTAAGGATTTTAACATCTGACATTAAAATTCATTTACACGTCCCACATGAAAACTAGATAAAAAGAAAAAGCCTGAAAGCAGCATTCTAGAGTCTTGGTTGCATATAGTTCTTAGGTCTATTTTGTTTTTAATACACAGCATTTTGGAGCAGGGCAGTGGACATGCAACATGCAATAATTAGAGAGGCCTAAACATTAAATAATATTTTTCTTTGTTTAGAAAGGGTTTTATTCAGTTTTCTGAGGCTTATTTTAAATAAAACATCTTAAAAAACACCATATGAGCAATACGAAAAACAAGGACTTTAATTGTCACATTTTAGTATAAAAGTTTTGTTCAGTTAACTAAAAGAATTCAATGACAACATCAGTTGGTCTAATGCAACGATTCATATGATCGTACTTAATTCTAACCTAAACCCAAGTTAACGTATCTAAATTCCTGATACCAGTAAACACCACCACTATATTTTGCCAGTTACTCTGCTAATATTTACAGTATTTTAGTATCTTCGGTATCCTCCCCCTCCTCTTCCACCATATGGATCACCATAGCCACCCCTGCCACCATAACTTCCCCTGCCACCTTGGAAGCCACCTCCACCTTGGAAGCCACCTCCACCTTGGAAGCCACCTCCACCCCTTCCACCACCTCTGAACCCCCCACCTCCAAAACCACCACCACCTCCTCCTCCTCTACCCCCTCCACCTCCCCAGTTGCCCCTTCCACCACCACCACCTCCCCAGCCACCTCTTCCACCACCGTCTTGTCTTTTTTGCCAAGGAGGCATTTCAGGAGGAGGTGGCTCAATCTCTGTTGGTCTGCCTCCGCGGTCAGGTACTCTCCCCATCAGAACCTATATGGAAAAATATGTCATTTTTAGTTTTAATAGTAATAACTTGAAGGCACACAGGGTTCTTGTCCTATGGACAAAATGCTCTTTACAGGAAATACTGTCCCCTCAGTGTGGAGCTTGACAGCAGAATTCCTATTTCCTGTTCTTGTAAATTGCCACAACACAACAGAACTCTGAAAGTGACCCCACTTTCTACCTGTAAAATAGAAATAACTGCAGCTAACTAGCTTATATTACTTTTGTGAAATCTTCATGAAGAAAACTACACACATGTGAAGTATTAGTATTACAATAAACGATATATATGAATATATAAATACATACTCAAACAGAAAAGCTTCCTTACAATGCAGCTCTTCTACTTAAATTTCAAAGTTCAAGTTCCTACCCAAACAGCAAAAGACCCATAAACTGGCAAACTGATGTGCAAGTCTAAAAGGAACACCAGTTTGCCTTAGATTAGAGGCTACTGACGCCTGGTAGAGAGCTGGAATGGACAAAATACATAACATACTGCAGGAACACTTTCAACAAAAGAAAAATAAAGGGACCTTGACTTTGATGGGTATTACTCAGTGTAGAAAAAGGGAGACTGTACTGGACAAAGTTACACAAAACATTAAGTTGAATAACAAAGAGGTATCCAAGCAGGTGTTGTTGCTTTCCTATTTCCTAAACTCTCGGTGTGCTGAATGTTAACATACTCTGGTCACTCCAAGGCACTCCAACAAAGTCCTCTCAAGAAAAAAAACTTTCTCTGAGATCCTACAATAACTAGGAAATTTCAAATTCTTTGGGATCAAAACATATTAAAAAGCATCTAAATGAAGCACGAAACTCTAGAAAAATCTGTAAATAAAGCATTAATAAAAACAGGCTTAGTTACCATTTGAATGGTGAAACTAATGTCATTACTCACAAGCTTCAGCTTTCTTCATGCACAAGAAAGCAGTACAATGCTGATTTATTAGTGCAGTCAAACTGAGTAATTTTACTTTGCAGCAAAATGACACGTCCACAGAAACTTTTGTGGTTTATAATATACTGATAAACTAAAGATGCTGGTTTATGAACCGAACAACATAATCCTAGCAACAGGCAGCCCAGGAACTGATAGCAGAAAGACTTACACGTACCCTTAACCTGAGGTGTGCAGTTCCACTGAACTCAAGACGTCACTTAAATACAGACGCACGCACACCCACCCACCACCCCGTTCCTTCTCATCTGCACTACTGTTTCACCCTGCTGCAGGACTGGCTGTGTAATAAGATAAAAAAAGAAGTTGCTGCAATGTTTACTGGAATGCTGCAAACTTTCCTTTCTTAAAGCACCAAGTACCTTGCAAAAAGAAAGTATTAAGCAAAGAGTATAATTCCAGAATTACTTTTGATAGGTCTGTAAACTCCCACCTCTTTTCACCACATCCCAGAAAGAAAAAGTTTACCTTGTTGATTGCACAGACTGTATTTTCCCGCGTTGATCCACTACTTGTTCTTATGATCTTTGATAAATCTTCTCGAGCAGCAAGAAGGTGAGCTAATGTAATAGTTGACTTTGGAGATAATGCATAGCGCTTGGGCTGATAGATTCGTGCTATGTCATCTGTTTTTACCTAAATGATAAAATCAAATACAGCTTACTTGCTAGGCATAGAATTACTGTAAACCATGTATTTGCCTCAGTAAGTTTCTATTTGAACACAGGGTGCAATGTCTGAAAATCTAGGTTATCTTACTAGATGCAGTGCCAGTTGTTACCAATTCTCTTCATACTGATGGAGTTATTGTACAAAAAAATGCTGCTGATTATATTTAATTGATACCTAAACTTAGCACCAGTACAAAAGAAACTCTCCTATCCACTGGCATCAAACAGATTCTTTTATGTTTTCCAATGTATCTAAAGACTAAATTTAAGAGTCCACTCTCAAGAGCTTTACATTGAGCCATATTTAACATATTACTTCAAAATTATGAACAGAGAGCAGCTTCAAAGTAAGGTCAAATTGTGAAAAAAAATAAAATGTATCAATGCAGCAAAACACTTCTGCAAGCCATGAAAAATTGAGACTGAGAAGGGGAGAAAATAAGATTTGCATTTGTTTAACAAAAAAGAAAAATAAATGCAATTTCTGGGACAATCTAGAATTATCTTCAGAAGAAAAAAAATATTCAGTCTTGGATGGACCAGACAAGGGATGCTGTTCCTTCACATGACTGTTTGGCGAGGCAATTACTACACCATTTATGGATCCACTTCAATCTGCAAACTCACCCCTCTTGGGGACTGAACAAGTTAAAAAAAAAAAAAAGGCACAAAAAGTTCCACACCATCAAAAGCAGTGAAAGGTATCAATACCTATTTAATGGCGGGAAAAAGAGTCAAGCTAACAAACAAATTAAACTACATTTTAGAAGTATACTTTAAATTTGAAAAGAAATAGTTGTATTAGTAGAGCTATAAAGAAGTTATACACATAGGGACATTTCCTGGCTTGTGTGAGTTAAATTTTCTTTTGAGCTCCTTTTCCTTTCTTGCAGCATAAAAGCTTTCACAGCCCCTGCAGAAATTAAATAGTGAGCCATTCAAAGGCACTGAGCAGCATCCAGACCCATGTCTTCCAGTTATACTTAGTGAGACTCATGAAACTGATTCTGTCTGCATGTGTTAGTCACAAACTGTGACACCAGGAAGAGTTGTAACAATCCACACTTTCAGTAAGCTTTCGAAGTTTTAAGACTTATCCATCTTAAGCTTTCTACACAAAGCTTTGGAAGGGAAGTTGATTTTGCATCTCATAAGCAAAAACTTCTGCCTCCAGCTTCTCAAATATACATTCATTAAATTACAAACTTTTTGTACCTTACACCCAACTCTTTTGGATAGAAACAATATATGTTTCTAGCTAAGAAATATCAGACTGGTTAAATCATGATTATTTTTTGATATACAGAGTGCTGGGAAAGAGTTCAAACGATCACAATTAAAATGATACCAGCAGAGAAAATCCAGGAGTGGATTGGAATTTTTAGCCACTTGGAAGATTACAAGTAATTGTGTGCTTTTCTCATACAAGCTGGTATTCAAATACCCCGCTCAACAGACCATCTGTTTATTCAGTAGCTTTGAACCCAAGATAGGTAGCAGTCACCGTAATCTCACTGTTTTTATGGGCAGTCACTCTTTGCACCCCATCTATCTAGTGAAGGCGCAGATTTTGCCTTCCTCTTGCATCTGCATGAGAAATGCTGAGGTTCCCTCCTTGTTTACGTGATTGGGGGGGGCAGATACAGGAAAGAAAAATGGGAGACGTAAACTTACTAAAGTGAGAAACCCCAGATGATGCTAGAATTTATAATTGTGAAGGTATAAAGAGTCACAAAGGATGGACTGTGCCATCTGATCAAATACTTCCCCTTCCTCAATATCTCGGAGTTGGATGTTACATCCGGAGATGAGAAACTGGTTGCAAAGAAGGCAGCAGTAACAGCAGTGGATTTACAGGGTATGCATATTCAGTAGGAAGACCTGGGAAATTGTAGCAGACTCCCACCTACAGGAAGAAAAAAACACAGCAAGCTTACCTTTGCTCTGTCAGACCAGCCAAAGGACTGTACTGTCACATCCAGCCTCTTCATTAACATACGTCGCCGACACTCATACTCACTGCGAAGAGCATCATTGATTTTTTCCAATTTTTCCTGCAGCGTTACAATAAAAAAAATCCAAACATTCAAATCTATTAAGTTATAGAAGTCAATTTAAAGTTAACCCCACTCAGCAACTAAGATATCTAACCCCAGGTGATCACTATAAACTACAAAAAATTAGGGGTGCGTCTGTATAGTGCTACAGTAGTATGTATACAGAAAGTATTTTGCAAGTTAATCAGTGGATGAATCAACACACAGTCTGTTTTATAACATTAATTCTGGAAGTATGTGATTAGCATTGTTAATATTTAACAATTGAATTTTAGCATTAATACTTAGCAACAGAACAGTGACCGTAAAATGGACAAAGTTAGATGAAGCCATATGCATTAATTTTCACCATCCCATTAAATACAGAAAAGAAATTGAGAGACTTTTTTTTACCACTTGGTCAGAATTCAGAGGTTGTGTTAGCAGTGATTTCCCCACATGGTTATTTTGAACTTTTGAGAGAACGTCCTTTATCTGAAATGAAACATACTTCTTCTCAGAACACAAATGATATTTACGTTTCTTTCAGCACAATTTGCTACTCATAAGATCAAATATAGCACATATGTTTTAGCAGATTCATAAAACCAAATACGCATCTTCTGGTTTATCATCCATTACAAAAAGATTTCCTGAATACTTTCACTACATGACCAACCTCTATACAAAAATATTTTATGGCACACCAATTCCCCTCCCAATTATAACAGAGCAACATCTACATCGCAAATTTGTCAAGTGCATATAGGCAGTAGGATTAGTTATATTACTCATTTTACTACAACTAAGGGAATGTAACAATTGGAAGCTAGTTCTGTTGCCAAATGCTAGACTTGGCCACAAAAGTCTAACACAAAGTTAACAGTGCTGGAACAGGCATTTTCACCATCATCTGGATGCTGCTTTGCATAAATGAATCTATTAAAGATTTCGTCTTGTCACATTGAAGATATACAGATGCAATAAAACCACACAAGTAACAGGCCCTCTCCCAAAAACCTCTGAATGTTCAGCTGGCCAATGAGAAGGGAAGGAGGAAGAAAAAAAGCACAATCATGTAAAATTATTAAAGACTCAGCAGCAGAGAGAGATTCATTCCATGTATCTACCATAATTCTTAAAAGGTCATCAGTTTCCCATTCTCTCCCCAAATAGTAGGGAGAAATAAAAATCAAAACTTTTAGCTGCCTGATAGAGAGAATTAATTCCACCCCCAGAGCCTATTTACATTCTGCAGCGAGGAAGTCAGATTAAGGATCACATCAGTGAAACGAGTTAGAACGGATGGGACGCAACCAAAAGAACCATCCTGTTGTTTAAGCTCCAAGTTGGCTTATTCACTGCCTATTGCCATTTTCATCCTCTTCTGCAAGTAAGGAAATGGCACTCACAAATCAATACTTGCAATTAAAAAATTCATGAACAAAAAAGCAAAAATTTAAGTTTTGGATATTAAATTTAAATATATCCCAGAAATGACTACAGGTACGTCAACACACAGTTATTACCCGAATTCTTCTGCTTGCTGCTGCACATTTGAATGGGTAACCAGCAAACTGTTACTTCAACTCATACCTTAAAGCATGCCTCATCAGGTACAGTGCATCCTCAGGGAAATGCTGAAATACTTCACCTCATAACTAAAACATTTTAACTTAAACACTAAGCTGGCTTTCAGAATAAAAATTCCTTTGTACTTGTCAGATAGGGCTTTTATGGATTAGACTGTTGGGCCCTTAACTCTAAGACAGATGCTTACAGAGATAATGCTTATAGTTTAACAATAGAGAGAACACATAAAAGCCCATACCTTTTGTTCCACATTGGTTAACAAAACAGGAATATCAGAAGATGAGGAGTTGGGCAGGCCCAGCGCATCGCAAATAGCTTGCACTTCCTGATAAACTTCATTGTGCTTTTCCAAATGAGAGCCTTTAATTTTTTTGCTGTGCAATATCTTTAAAGCCTGGAGTTCTGTACTTAAAAATACTGGAGAGAAAAGTGTCATAATGGCAGATTTAGAGACACATGTATATCTGCGTCCACATTCTCATACGCAAATACAATATGTACATTTATAATAAGACCATGATAAAAGGGAGACTCTTTCTCAGTTCTGTCCTGGATCAGTTCAGTATCAGTTTCCCATTCTTCACCTGAACTAACTCTCACTTGACTTCCCACCTTCAGTCTGTGTATCGTATTTAACTGCTTAACCCACTTCTGCCACCAGGCCCCTAGTTCCTTGGCTAGTTTTGTATTATCACGCTGGTTCCTGCTGCTACTCCTTTGTTCAAATCGAGCTTAAACCTAGACTTTGCTTCTCTCAATCCTGCTTTCAGCACCTTCAAATCACGTAGCATTTTCTTCTAAGCCCAGAAAGCTCTCAGAAACACGGGAAGCCAAGTCTCAGTTTCAGCTGAGCTGGAACTGGACCAACAGAGGGACTGGGAGGCTGCAATAGGTTGAACCACTTTTTTTTTTTTTTCTACTAAAATAGTTTTCTAATACTTTTCTATTTTTGACTTCTGCACAAGTGAGCCGATGCATGCTGAGCTAGGTTGTAATGATTGTACACATACACTTACATAAAGAACTATTTAATCTAAATTGTACAACGACAGAGCATGCATGTAAAATACTGTATTATAAATGGGAGAAACAGCTATAACTTACAGAGGAGTTTAAGACAATCTTCTTTCTCTCTTAATCTGTCCTTGATGTCTCCAGATACAAGTGATGAATAAGGACAAGCCATTTCTCTGAGAAAGCCACTAATCTCAAGCTGGAAACTCTCTATATCTTTATCACCTATGGGAATAAAGAAACACAAAGTTAACATCAAACTGTAATCTAATTTTCTTAACATATACATTTAAATTGCAGGTATCAATAGCCCAAACCAAGATTTATCACCTTCCACCCTAGTAACATTTTCCTTCTTCGTATAGAAGTCCTACACACAAGCAGACAAGCCTTTAATAGCTACAGCAATATCGAACTCATGCTCTGAATGAGAAGGGGATGCTACAGCAGCCTTTGACGACAGGAATGTAAATGAACATCACTAGGAAGTGAACAGCTTATGTCACAAAAAAATGTATCACTCTAGCTAGTTTTCTGATGAACAAGTTACAGGAGTCATGAGCCCATTGCTTTCAGTGGTTGGTCTTGGTTTTACTACTTTTTTTGTGAAAACATAAGCAATATAAAATATCATCCAAGTTCCAGCACTCAATAGGAAGAATCAGGTAGCATAAAGGAGAAACTCACTTATCTACATGCAGTGCTGAATGGAACACTGCACTGCAGCAACTAGCTGAAAATACCAGGCACTGGAATTTAAGTCATCAAAATACAATTACATGTAAGAACCAGTCATAGGATGCATATATGTTTTTTTTATATTTATGTAGAGATAAAAAACCAAAACCCAAACCACCTTTTTCTTTTTGTTTTCCTTTGAAAGAATCTTCACGAGACCTTAATCTAAGAGCCGCATAGATGCAAATTATCAGCCTCAGTTTGGCTACCTTTCAGCTAGCTTCTAAACTTCAACACTGTATTTTCACTATTAGCTGAACAATCTGTGGCTAAAATCACTGAATATTAAATTGCTTTAATAAATTAACACTCATATACCATCTGCTGAAGTGATGCTTTCTTCCATATTACAAAGTGACTTTATTTGGGAACCTAACCAAACGCAAAGCTGAAAAAATTCTGGTGAAGACAATCCATTTTCTGCTGCTTTCTTCAGGGCTTCCTCCTCCAACAGGGGACCCGTGTACCTGCACAGAGAAATAAACAGTGGCGATAGGAAGCAAGTTTACCATAAAATATACACATTTTAGAACATTTTACTATAAGCTGGTTAGTACCTACACTGAAATAAATTAATCTTTGTAAGTTACTTTCATCAAGGAATAATTCAGACTTCTTTTAAACACACCAAAAAATGCGTGGTAATTGGTAAACAAAATTATTTGTCAGAAAATAGGAGGTGGCATTTTGACACATCACATGTGTATGTGAAAACGGGAGTTTCAAGTCTCAATACATGCCAAACAGACAAGAATCCAAGTATTAAACCGAGCATTTAGTCAAAGTAATTTCCTCCCAACATTAACAACTCACTGCTCTACAGTACTGGTGATAACTGAGAATTAAACTAAATTTCACACTGTTTCTGCTCTGCTGCTGCTCTGGGCAGCCCAGCCAGTGCCAGACCAGAGGTCCCACACTGAAACTACCCATCCAGCCCCCCCAGTATGGCCAAACACCGCCACTTTTCATAGAACAGAATCACAGAATTGTCTAAGTTGGAAGTAACCCTTAAGGGACGAGGCCAACCATCAACTTAACATTGACAAAACCACTAAACCATGTCCCTCAGCAGCATGGCTACCCGTTTTTTAAATACCTCCAGGGATGGTGATTCAACCACTTCCCTGGGCAGCCTGTTCCAATGTTTAAGAACCCTTTTGGTGCAGAAATTTCTCCTAATATCCGATCTAAACCTCCCCTGGCACAACTTGAGCCCGTTTCTCTTGTCCTATCGCTTGTTACTTGGGAGAAGAGCCCGACCCCCGCCTCTGCAACCTCCTTCCAGGCAGCTGTAGGGAGCAGTGAGGTCTCCCCTCAGCCTCAGCTCGCTGTACCCCAACAAACGCCCCCGCTCCCCTCGGCCCCCGCCTCCGGCCCGGCCTCCCGCCCGCTCCCCGCAGGGCCGTGTAGCGCAGCGGCGGGCTCCCCTCGGCCCCTCGCCCCGCCGAGGAGAAGCGGCCGCTGCTGCTCCCCGCTTACCCCAAGGCCTCCAGCGCGTCCAAGATGTCACACTCCATCTTCAGCCCGGGCGCCAGCTCCTTCATGCCGGCACCCCGGCTCCCCGCCGCGCCGCGCTGTGCCCTCCTCAAAACCGGCCCTCCGCAACCCGCGCCCGCCGCTGCGTTCCGCCGCCGCAGGCCCCGGGCACGGCGTGTGTTGTGGGGGGACCGGGCCGCCCCCGCCCCCTCTGCCGGCGGCTGCTCGGAGCCATCCAGCCCCCCCAGTATGGCCAAACACCGCCACTTTTCATAGAACAGAATCACAGAATTGTCTAAGTTGGAAGTAACCCTTAAGGGACGAGGCCAACCATCAACTTAACATTGACAAAACCACTAAACCATGTCCCTCAGCAGCATGGCTACCCGTTTTTTAAATACCTCCAGGGATGGTGATTCAACCACTTCCCTGGGCAGCCTGTTCCAATGTTTAAGAACCCTTTTGGTGCAGAAATTTCCCAACCATCAACTTAACATTGACAAAACCACTAAACCATGTCCCTCAGCAGCATGGCTACCCGTTTTTTAAATACCTCCAGGGATGGTGATTCAACCACTTCCCTGGGCAGCCTGTTCCAATGTTTAAGAACCCTTTTGGTGCAGAAATTTCTCCTAATATCCGATCTAAACCTCCCCTGGCACAACTTGAGCCCGTTTCTCTTGTCCTATCGCTTGTTACTTGGGAGAAGAGCCCGACCCCCGCCTCTGCAACCTCCTTCCAGGCAGCTGTAGGGAGCAGTGAGGTCTCCCCTCAGCCTCAGCTCGCTGTACCCCAACAAACGCCCCTCAGCCTCAGCTCGCTGTACCCCAACAAACGCCCGCGCAGCCGCGCTTCTTTCGTCTTCCCCCCATTACTACCGGGGCAAGCCCAAGGCCGCCGCCGTGACCCCGCTCCCCGGGCAAGGCAAGAAGCCCGGGCCCGGCTGCCACCAGGCCTCT